AAACCGTTTTAAATACTGAAAATATTAGATTGTTTGAGTTAAGAAATTAGGTAGGAATATAAATTTTTTTATTTCTTTAGCATCATAATGTGTTTCTAAAGTTTACTAATGTAATTTAGAGATTCAAAGTATCAGGCAATTTCATTGTTAACAGAGATGATTAGAGTGCTCTCATTTTCAAAATTTTTTTGAGAACATCCTTTTTCTTGTCAATAGATGATTTTACTTTTGTTTTCATTGCACCAATCATCTATGCCTTCATCCTTAGTCGTTACCAAGCATAGGCCTCCTCATTCTTCACTTGCTATCTTTGCTCCACCCTCCTCTATCATTGTTACCTATGTTGTCACACCCCCTTGTTGGTTGCATCCACACATGGGCCTCCCTTCCCCAATCGTTGTCGAAAGTGATTTACATGCTCTTGCTCGCAACCCCGTCCTTCCTTGTAGCTTCCATGGTCGATTGCCTATATCACTATCGTAACCCTTGTCTATTAGTGCTATTATGAGCAAAGGCACATGAGCCTCCCCTCCACTCATTATTGACTAAGGGTCCTTGGCAAGAAAGAAGGTAACAAGAAAAATAGAAAAAAGGAGAAAGAAATGTGAGGGCAATGAGCATGAGTGTGGGGGTAAAGATGATTGTCGATGGAAGCATAGATAATATCATTGTTTTGAAAAAAATAATATCCTATTAATTTTTTTTAAAAGAAGATGCCCAGAACTTTTCAAAAATAAATTTTTTTATATGAATATAAATAAATATGTATGTATGTATGTATGGATTGACTACTCACCACTTTGTTCCCGGGAAGATCGGTTCATGATTCTTTCTTATAAATAGACAAAGCTATCTCCCTTTTGGTCCACTGCACCTATCCATCCATGTCAGTCTCATCACCACATACTTTTCTTCATAAGATCGTTTTCTTTGTCATCTAATTTTGAGGTTTGAAAACGAACATAATAATTTCTGAACAGAAATAATTTCTTAACCCGAACTAGAATGGATGGTTCTGATTTTTATTTTAACCATTGATTTTTTTATTTTTTATTTAAAATAATTTAAGATAAAAATTATAATTTAAAATAAAAAAATATGTCTTCAAAATTTGAATCTTCTATTCAAATCAAACTCGTCGGTTCAATTTAAGAATCATCCATTTTGATTTTTAAAAAGTCAGAAGACAAGACGTAATCAAATTGTCTAAATCTAATTTCTATTCGATTTAGAACCAATAAAATGAATGAGCTATCAAAGATTGCACGTCTCTCTTTTTCTGAGAAGATTGATGAATATTACAAATTTCGAGAAACCAAAAGGTATGAGAGCCCCACACTCGTAGTCGACATAATGTGACCTGGGAAGCAATCGGGTCACTGTTAAGAATTCGTCATGACCATGTGCTTGGAATATATATAAAGAGTACAAATATGGTGTATATTATCTTCCTCCTTGTTGGAATAAACAAAGAGAACAATAATTGTTAGCAGTTTAGTTCCTCCCTCGTTTGTGTTCTCCATCAATTCCACCATCCTCACGGTGTGCGTCATTGATTACCTCAGCTAAGTCGGTGGTTAGTACCTTCATTTTATTTGACGACGTAACATCAAGCATTAGACTTTCCGGGGGCAGAATCTGCGTATGGGTTACGTTCCCCATATATTATAATCTTTCTTGGTGGAACAGAAAGCTCCAACGTCTACTTGTAGTGCTACCAAGTCCCTCATTTGTCTACCTTACAATAAGATTGTTGGTCCACACACTTTGTCCACCGTCCGACTTGTTTTCAATCATCCAATTGCTTACGATCCCGTCCCATGCCCACCTTCGTCTCTCGGGATGAAAAATTAAAAGTTGGGCATGAAAACGTAATAATAATAATAAAATAAATATGTAATAAAATGATGAGATCGATTTCTCTTAATTATTTCATCCAAAAGGTGTCAACCGAGTGGATGAGACAAATGATTTATTGCTATATATTTTTAATATTTTCTCTCATTTATTAATTTATACCTTTAGCACTCTTCTTCGTATAGATGGTCGGTAGATGGTTCAGCCCATCATCACACGCAATATAAATGGAGGGACTTTTCTTTTATACAAGAGTGGCCTAAACAAGATTCACTCGATTCAATCTCGTATTTATTTTTTTTAATCAATATTATTATCTCTAAAAGTTTTAAGTCAGTGATATTATTTATTGATGGCCCATCGTCTCGATCGTTCAGTTCAATCCAGCGGCCATGCTCAACAAGAATCTTAGTACATGCCATTCGTATTTTGTCCAAGAAAAAAAGGTGTCATGATGGTATTATTGTAGCGGATTCAAAGCTGATGCTTTTATCTTTGGCAGTACACTAAATGATTTCTCTTGGAATCTCGCTCGGCTGCTACCCATCAACTTCACTACTAATGATTTCTCTTACAATCTCGCTCGGCTGCTACCCATCAATGGAGTCGTATGTTATATGCGTATGTTATACGATACTAATTGAAATGTATTTTCTCTTTACTTTTACAATTTCACTCTTCATTCTATCACTTTATCATGGTATCAGAGCATATAGGTCGAGAACCTGACGTGATTTAAAGATATCACTTTTTGAATGAGTTGTCATTGGATGTCTAAGAACTGTAGCTGAGAAGTAGACGGTGGGTTGTTTTATTTGTGGAACTTAAGGAAAGGGACTGGATGGTGTGGTGAGAGGTTCGTTTGAGGGGATCGATGGTATATTCCAGTGATGTATATTTGTTGGAGTAGCTTGCATGGTAGGAGACTCATGGTTTTGAAATGAAAAGGCAGACTCCACAAAAATAGCATGACGAGAGACAAAAACTTTTTGAGTTTTAGGATCGTAACATCAAAAAACATTATGTTCAAGAGAATATCCTATGAAAATATAAGGTTTAAATCTTGGTGTGATCTTGTGTGGTGTATAAAGACGTAGCCATGGATAACATAAATAACCAAATATTCTGAGTTTGTGAAGATTAGGAGATTTGAAAAATAGTTTTTCAAATGGTGATTGATATTGAAGGACTAGAGTGAGCATACTATTAATAAGGTAGATGGTAGTTTAACAATCTCCACACTAGCGTAAAGCCATGTGTGAAGAATATGATGCCATACTCCATAACTCTACATGAACTCTTGTGTTATTTCATCCTACACATAATATCATCGAGTGTAAATGGGTCTTTCGAATTAAGCGGAACCCAGATGGATCCGTTGTCAAATACAAAGCCCGTTTAGTTGCCAAAGAGTTTCATCAACGACTTGGAGTTGACTTCACAGAGACTTTCAGTCCCATTATTAAACCTACAATAATTCGGCTTATTCTAAGTTTGGCCATCTCCAAGGGCCGGCACTTATGCCAACTGGACGTTAATAATGCCTTTTTACAGGGGACTCTAACTGAAGATGTCTTTATGCAATAATCCCATGTCTTCGTTCATCACCAGTATCCGAGACATGTCTGCAAACTACAAAAAACCATTTATAGACTCCATTAGGCTCCAAGAGCTTAGTATACTAAACTTGGATTGTTTCTGATATCAACTGGTTTCATCAACTCCAAGTCTGATACCTCTTTATTCTTACGATAACAAAATGGGAATACAATATATCTTCTAGTATATATAGATGATATTATTGTCACAGGCAATGATACCTTGGAGATTCATATATTTTTAAAGTAATTGGCTGATCGATTCTCCCTCAAAGATTTAGGACCCTTAAGCTACTTTTTGGGAATTGAAGCAATATTTACATCCTCAGGTCTCCTCCTATCACAAAGAAAGTACATTTAAGACTTATTATCAAAGACAAATATGCAAGATGCAAAAGAGGTTGCAACTCCTCTTTCTACTAGTGCATCACTCAAAATATATGATGGCAGCACTCCTACAGACTCAACTTAATACCGTCAAGTACTTGGCTCCTTACAGTACTTGGCTCTCACCCATCCAGATATCTTATTTACAGTCAATAAACTATCTCAGTACATGCACTAGCCTTCTGCTATGCATTAGTCTGCGGTTAAGCGAATTATGTGGTATCTTAAAGGGACCCTCAATCATGGTCTCTTTCTCCGCAAACACACTCCACTTCATCTCCATGCCTTTGCTAATGCTGATTGGGTAGGAAACTTTGATGATCGCACCTCCACCTCAGAGTATGTCATCTTTTTTGAGTTTAATCCAATCAGTTGGAGTTCTAAGAAGCAAAAGACAATCGCCCGATCTCTAACTGAAGCTGAATATCATGTCATCGCTACTGCTACTACTAAACTCAGTTGGGTTACAAATCTCCTTAAGGAACTCAAAGTTAGCTCTACCCTTACTCCTATAATATATTATGATAATGTTGGAGCTACCTACCTATGCGTCAATCCAGTGTTTCACTCACGCATGAAACATATTGCCATCGATTTTCACTTCGTGCGAGATCAAGTTGTCAGATATCAACTTCGTGTCTCTCATATTCATACGGCTAATCAACTAGCAAACTCACTTATGAAGCCTCTAGCCCGTAAACTATATTTGTTGCATCGGTCCAAGATCGGTATCTTTGACAGGAGTTCGATTTTGCAGTGGTATGATAACAAAGAGATTTTCTCAACTACAGAGATTTCATCAACTACATAATGAAATCTCGCTGCTCAATTAAAAAAAATCTTCTATTTCACTTTGTATAAATAGACATTAGATGTGCTTTATGTTTACCTTTACAATTTCACTAGTCATTCTATCACTTTATCACTGAATTCATTCTTCCTCGTAACAACAGTATAAGCTTTTTTGTGTGTCATAATCAAAGTCCATTATTTATCTTAAAGCTAACGGTGTCGAAGAGGAACATTAGATTTGATATCCGAAAGTCCATTATTTATCCGGAAGAAAACATAGGTATCGAAGAGGAACATTAGATTTGATAACATATCTGAAAGCTAAGGATAGATCGAATGATTTG